AGTTACTAACCAAAACCACAAGTACAAGGGAGTCAATGAGCAGTATCACCAACAAGTATTATTTAATTGTAGCAACATACAAACTTTTCAACAACTTTAGCGTGCATCACCCATAGCTTTATATCAATAACAATTATAACTGAGAGCTCTCTACCAACCAGTTTGATTTGTTAACTTCTTGCATGTCTACACAAATTTTCATTCTTTCAGAGCAATCGTTACACAAAATGGAGAAGGAACCTTATTACATACCAAATCTTACAATTAATTTTTTTTAAAAAAAAGTCCATCCCATATATCAATTGTTAGGATAGTGTGAAAATCATTCAAAAACAGTTATAATTAATTAATTTGTCTTGTGCATGAGATAATAATTGTATAAGCAGAAAGCTAAAGCCTGAGCTAATGCATATTTCAAGGGTTAATCTTTGGGGATTTCTTCATGTTAAACTAATGATGCTACATAAGATGGCACTTTCATACCATGATAGCTTCATGATAGCTTCACCATTTCTTTACAAACCATGTAACAAATTGATGAAGAAAGTCAAATAATTGCTGAAAAAAATGGAAAGCCGGAAACATCAAAGCTAAAACCAATTAACCATTTTGCATGAAGTAATTTTGTAACATTAAAAACGCTAAAAGCTAGACAGAACCTTTTACCACCAGCCATTGCCAGAAAAAACCCAAAATTAGAGAGATGTCAAAGACGCATTTGAACATTTTGTTATAAACTAACTAGATTCAATAGGCAAAGCTCCTAATTTTCCATATAAACTCCAATCAAGACTAATAAACTAAATCATACTGAAGAATCCCTTTGTCTCTAACTTTGTTATAAACTGAATATTATAATGGTACAACTAATATGCATTTAGAAGTATATTTAGATTCTAATAAATTAAAACAAAGGTGGTATGCAAATACAACTATTCATGCGGGTATCATCTAGCTAAACCAAAGAACATTGAACCTTTCTAAAATCTCAATTATCTTAGCAAATGATGCTATGCCCTGAAAGCTATAGGTCAAACCTCTGCCATGCTATTCTAGCCTACAAACCCAATATAGGTCAAGACTCCATGTGCTCGTTTCTATGAAATAAAATTAGCATATGTTATAAGAAACCTCAATTGAAATTAATCTCAAAAAAATAAAAATAAAAATAAATAAATACCTTGTATTTTAGGTCCTTGAGAGCATCAACCACTTTGGCACTACCAACTAACTTGACATGAATTTCATTGGATTTGGCAGGATCATCCCATAAATTATAGGCACAGATCATTTTCTCTCATTTGATTCGTGTAGCTTCTTCAAATTCCAAGGCAGTTGGTGCTAATATCCCTGCACAATGAATTACATCTTCAATCTTTTCAATGTAAACAAACCTAAACCATTTGAATTAACATATCCAATTTCAAGTGAGAAAGGACGATAAAGATGTAAGAGATTCGAAAAGATAAGCAACTGCAAAAGAATTTGTTAAAACTCGTAGCTTATTCTCAAGAATAATCATTTTGAAAACACAATATCTTGACCAATATTTATTAGATAGATTATGATGAAGAATTGGGAAAATAAAATTGGCAGAATTTGAAATCAGCAGGTGAATGTAAATTTCCAATGCATTGGAAATATAAGACAAAAGTGACGTTTTAAGTGAGGCTTTCGATAACAGAATAAGCAAACCAATAGTTTTATTGATATGCAACAAACAAAAAATTTTGGAAATATGGTAGACAATAAATAGTGAAATGCATTCCTCAAATAGGAAAAAGTAGATAACCAAGGGAGATACATGAGCATTGTTTAGATGTACCAAAAGAAAAGATGAGTTGAACAAATCAACATTATATTGAAGTTAAAACAATAGAATATAACATAATTCCAGAGAACATCAAAACTAACCTTACGATGGAAGCTGGGTAAGAAATCAATAAAATGCAATAAATTGAAATAGATTAAGGGGGAAAAAAAGAGCAAAACTTACCTGGATGAGATCAAACTCGATTTGGGCTTTGATCAACCTTGACAAAGTTGGCGTCTCAGGCCTTGAGCATGCATGGAAACAACACGATCGTCAGACTTGGGAGGTTAAACACTATGGTGGAAAGGATCGGGCGGCAATTTCGGAAGTCAAGTTGGGATTTGACGATCGAGGATAAAGACTGATGCCAAGCCATGGATTTTGTAGATACTTAGGTTTAAGAGATGATTGGGGTTTCAATTTGTTTCCTAATTGAGAGGCCACGAGACATGTTGAATAGACTGGAGAAGGAGGTGGCATGAAAATACCCGATGGCGGTGGGTTCCAACATCGAAATCGTTCAACGGCCATGGCTTTAATGAGAAGGAGGTCCGGTAGTGACGATGAAGAAATGGGATTTTTTTTTGGGGGGGGGGGGGGAAGAAATTGGAATTTACTTAGGCATTCTAACTTTTTTTTTAAAAAAAAAAAGAGAGTAAAAAGTAGTGTGAAAATGGTTCTTTCAAACCGGTTTTAAGTTCTATAGGTAAATTAAAGAATAATTAAATAATTAAAGAATAATTAAAGAATAATAATAATAAAGTTATAGATAGTTTATAAATGTAAATAAGTGTGAATAGGCAATTTGAATATAAAAAAGTTTTTAAGATTTTAACTTTAAGGTAAATTAACGAA